CTTCGCGTTGAATTTTCGTCGATGTTAAGCCTAACGAAGACTATTGTATCGTTAAAAATTATTTTTTTATTTTGTACAAACAAAATAAATATATTGAAAAATATAAAAACAATAAAAAATTATACTTCAGATGTTAATTTAGTATCAAAAACGTAAAATATTTGAGTAACCCAAGAAATAGCCGAAGATTTCAGCGCCACAGCACTAGCGAAAATTTAAATTTGCCGACTGGAATGCTTTCGGATAACAGACGTTTCGGATAAACGACGCTCTACTGTACTGTACTTAATGTAGTTACATTATACTGCAAATAACTACTTCTTTTCAAATTTCTTGCTAAACTGAAGATAGTTTTACTGTATTTCAAATTTTCTAATTTATAAGTCATTAAGTTTGTAATCTGAAAAATCTATATAATCTACAAAATTTGAGTGAAAATATTTAAACTAAAATATATAGTACTGCCTAACACAGGACCTGAATAAAATGGAAACCTGTCTAAATAGGAAAAATTCATCAGAATGGAGCAATTTTCTTTATTAAGAAAATCCTGTTCAAAATGGAAACCTGCCAAAGTGGAAAAAATATTTAGTACCATGCAGGTTTTACTGTAATTAAATAAATTAAAAGTATTTCAAGAATTTTTAACTATAAACATTCTTCTTTATGACAGAATTAAATGCCTTTATATTTTATATCACATTACTCTAGAGACTTATCATTAAATGAATTATTATTTATTTATAATTTTCATTTTGACTTTGGGAGGTGTAAAAAGTATTGCATAATTTTTTATTTCATAATACAGGCATACCTCGACTTATGTCGAATGTAAGATAAATTCAAAGTATTTCTGTTTTTTAAAATAATAAATTGATTTAAATTTTATATAATGCTTTCTCTCTCTCTCTCTGCTCATTGCATCTTTATAACTATAGAGAAATTGCACATGTTGAGGCTTTCACTTTCCTGTTTAACTATCTAATTCAGATTCTGTCTTTACCTGTTCATTGTTTGAACTGGATATTGTTAAACTACTATTGAACATGAAAATGCTGCCTCAGACATATTATGCGCCTTTGTGCAAAAGTATATTTTGCACATCAAAAGTCTAATTTTTAAACAAAAAAGATTAACCTTTTAAAATAAAATAAGGATAGCAACTATGTGAGAAATGAAACAGTGATGAGTTTTGTCGTTTAATTTCCATATTTTGCTTTTCCTACCTTTTAAATGTAGCTCAATTTTTAATTATATTNTTCGACTTACGTCGTTTTCCTGGAACCAATTACCGACGTAAGGCGAGGTATACCTGTATTTACTAATATAACAAAATTGCTGTTTTGACTCAGATTGAACTGAGGAGACAAAATACCAATATTGAAATTATTTTATTTTATTTTTGATTTGAAATTAATAATGCCAAAAAAGCAATAACTATTCTAAAGAAAACACAAAACAAGAAAACCCAATAAAAATACAAAATAATAAAAAGCTGGCAAGGGTTCTCAGATGACTTTCCCAGCACTTGAATGGGAGATTAACAAGACCGTGAAGTCCAATAACTTTCAATTATAGTATCATATAAAATTTAAATAATAAATAAGGGCTTAAAAAGAGTAATTTTGTCAAATTATGATAAATTTTTGTAATTAAAAAAATATTAACTTCAAAAAACTCTAAGACACATTAACACAGTTAAAATTGTGTATGATGCCATCTGTTATGAAATTTTATTAAAAATGACTTTTATATTACTAATTATTATAAAAAGGCAATAAGCTTAATTTTGAGGATGGAGATGAGTTTCTATAAAAATTATAAATGCCAATAATGAGTAAAATTAATACTTGACTCCTCAACTCCCACCTCCTTTATCTTCAACCACCAAAATTTAATAGTCTCAACATCCCATATATAGAAATAATTCTTGTCAAGTTTCAAAATTTTTAGTATGTCTTTTCCTGAGATGTAATACAAAATAGAAACAGACAGACACACACACACACACTTTGTATGTTTTTTCTTTTACATTTTTGGATCCTTGAGTATCAAAACATTGAAAAATGTTTTGATACTCAATTGGGACAAATTGGGATGGTCAAAATTTGACTGATCATCATACTTTCCTCAGATTATATTCAATAAAAGCTGGGTAAATAATAAAACATATAGCCTTTAAATACAAGAGTATTAATTGTATTGTACATTTTTACATAAAGATTTAAACTGTTTGAAATCAACAAATAATCTAAATCTATTGAGAAAATCTTCTAGACATGGATAGCCTAAACATAGGTAGAGCAATGAACCTTAGAAATCTTTTCAGATGCTGTTACATACTGTATAGTTTATTAAAAACTAAGTAAATTTTATTAAGTTTGAAGAAACTTTCTGAAGGAATTAAGAAAAGCCATTGTCCAAACAGGTAAACAATAATCTATTACATATTGAAAGTTTTAGGAAAATATTGTCTGAAGGCCAGATGATAAGAGATCATATAGTAATGATATAAAATACCTTTACAGATGTTTAAAAATATTAGATAAGTATCTCACTGAAGAGATGCCATCATCATTAAAAGAGCATTCATAATTTATAGAATTATTGTTAATATAAAATTATAGTGATCCAGATTACATAAAACAGAGAAAAACACATTGATACAATTTTGCATTAATTAATTTTAAGATTATATGTTCGACAGCCAAAACAGAATTGTTTAGATTGGGTTGAAGAAAGTTCAGATTGGGATTTAAGATTTTAAGATCATCGTCATAAGCTCTGATATCTTGAGTCCTTATGGTATATCCCAAGGATACTTGGAATATTCCACAAAGGAGAGAATCTGCAAAATCAATAACTGCCAAGTGTTAATGAAAATGAACATTGCAGAAAATAGTTAAACCATATAATCAGCACAGGATAAAAATCAACCATAAAAGAAAAGGAATAATGTATCAAAAATAATTTCAAGATTAAAAAGTTAACTTATGTTATTTATATTAATGTTTATCAATATAAACAACATAAGATGATTTTTTAATCTTACAGTATGAATAATTTTTATTTGTCTAGATTTACATATACTGTAGCTTCAATATTAAATTATTTTTTATTAAGAAACTCAATTATTGTTTAATTTCATAATTTTTTCACTTTGTTTTTTTTATATCTGAGATCGTTGACATTCCAACACCACATTTATTAATGAGCATCCAGACTCATCGCGTTTCAAAGCATTGATTATATCCAATTTGTCTTTAATGATAATACAACATGTTTTCTTTTCGATGACATATCGGTAATATTAAAAATAAATACTGTATTTAAATCACGATCAAATTTTCAAGAAACAAACATTCATACTGAATTTGGACTACTACTGGGCCCTTAGTCTCGAGTTTTTCGTGTTGTACTCGAACTGACGTCATCGAACTCACTCGTGTTACTATGACTCACATAATCGGTAGTCTCGAGTTAGACCCTTCGAGTGAACTCGAAAGGCGAGCGGAAGTAGGTCATATTCACTTGTTTACGTTAGTCGATAAGCATGATGGGATTATTTACAATGCATCTGGGTTTGCGACTATAATGATTCGACCAATCAACTTAACTGTAACAAGTTGTAAACAAATCAACGCGAATTAGTTTACACGTGCTACAGTTAAAAGTTGTCTTGTGGCAATATAGTACGCAGAAACAAAATGAAAACCTCGAATGTTTTATTTTAAAAAATAAGCGAAGAACAAAAAGAAATATTAGTAACATATATAGAAAATAATAAGAAAATGAACAGCGGAAAATTCGACAACGAATTTACAAGAAAAA